CTCCCTCCAGACCTTCCCCCTTGCCTCCAGCGTATGGGATTTGTGAGGGACAGCTTTAGCAGTGAAGACCAAAGAAAAGAAGGCATTCAGTAACTCTGCTCCAGTCTGTTTCATTGTGTCTTGGAAGATATCTTTGATATCTTTAGAAATTACTCCAGACTCCTTGATGAGAGGAGGGGGAATTCATAAAACTATGGGGAAACATTTTTGAGATGGAACGCTTCAAATAGCAGGACATCCAACAGAAGGTGATACATTTGGCTTTAAAACTATTTTCAACAAAGCAACCATCTCCTAGTTCAATAAACATCTTTAAAAGACTTATGGCACAAGTCTAGATGGTAAAAGAAACATGGAAACAAATCTCCAAGAGAACTGTTCTGAGACCTAGATGAGAGCTGATCTAGAAGCAGGGCTAAGGAAAACCATGTTGGAACTGTGAGGATCATTTGAAAGACTCCTCGCTTTAGCTTTGGTTAAAAAGCATGTACAAAATCAGTATGTTCTGTCTTAAATGAAATAAGTTTAATGAGTTTTAATTACCGTTCATTAGACTGAGGCATCCTGAAACTGAAGGAACCCCTGTGAAATACCATTTATACAGAGAGATACTCACAGGACATTTATTAGTTCAGAATTATTATTCTTCAACCTAGTGGTTACAACAATCAGAGTAAAATTTTAGTAACATTACTTCTATGAGATTACTCATGGAGGGTGTTGTCAGAGAAGCTAGACTCTATCCCAAAGAGCAAAGTATGGGAAATAGCATTGTTTTATGGCTTTGAACAAACAGCAAAAAAAAAAAAATCTAGTTTAGATCCTGATCACAGCTCCATTTAAAGTTTATAATGTACATAAAGTGTTCAGTTAATGTTTATAATCTTCGTAAAATTGATTTATTAGCTGTAATTTATCTTAACTCATATTCTTTAATAAGTAAAGTTATTGTTTGCAAAAATACTACATTGCCCTCCAATTAATCTTTTTATGTTTCCTCCCCTGCACTGTTACACTGAATGCAGTCTCTTGTCGCAGACCATTCAGAAGACAATCATAAGGTACTTCTAATGATTTTGAATGCTAAGTGGTGACTACTGGGCCTTGCAGCTGGAAGTGTGTGCCCACCTCCTCCGCAATGCTACCTGATCAGCACTAGAACCAGGAGGTTAATTACACTCCACCTAGATAAATGTCACAAACTGGAGGAAATAGCTGCTTTAAAAAAAAAAAAAAAAAAAAAAAAAAAAAGAAGTGTAAAATCTGGTAGTTGATAGAACCTACTTTTTGCCTATACAAGGCACATCCCACTGAAATTACTGTAAAAGGCTCTAGGTGACTGTGTGAGGCTTTGGATGCAGTTTCTATTTATTTTTCAGCACCCCTGTGTCTTTCAAACTGCATGACTGCCTTCCTACTCTGAGGAAGAGGTATCTGCTTTAAGCAGAACACACAGCTTTGTAAACGTCAATACAATCTCAGAAATAAGTTGTATCAAAACAATCCCATAAGAATGCACTAAACTGTTACTTTTAAAACAACAACATCTGGTCATATCTTAAACCAAAATAAATAAAAACTATACATTATAAAGCATCTGAAGAGCTAGTATTGCGTATTAAATTTTAAGATATAAATTAATGTTAGGTAAAGAACAATTGCACTTTATTCATAGATTTTCCACTGAAAAGCTAGAAGAGGTAACATCTTTATAAAGAAGGTTTAAAAATAACTTCATTTCCACATGCATGCTCTTCATCACTAAATTTAAAACTTTTTCCTTCTCTTAATGCAACAGTCTGGTTTTGATTTTGACTCCCCCGGGAGCAAGATAGTGCACTTTATTGTTAAAATTTATATTGCACTTCTAGGTTGCACTTTCACTGCACCTAATTTAAGCTCCAACTAGCAAACACATGCTTAAACACATACTCACAAAGAAAGTAGGTCTACCATGCACTGACTATTCAAATACTAACTACGTACTTCACAGTTTTGCTAAGGAAGATCTGAAACAAGCTATGTAAAACTGTCCAGAAAATTACTATTTCATCTTATGGAGTTTCTAAAAAATAGTATCTATAGTTAAATATAACTTATTTTGATCACAGTCATATTTCATGCAAAGGGGTTATACTCTATTAAAATCCAGCAAAAAACTTCCAAAGTTTGGTACTGAAGGTAGGGACTAGACTTGTTTTCCCAAAAGGTGGAAATTTTCATTTGAATAGGAAAAAGCCATTATTCTGTGCCTGGAAAAGTTTAGTCAAATTAATTCCTGCAAAAAGCTGCAGATCAAAAATCAAGATTTTTCCCAAGAAAGTGATTGTTTCAAAAGTAATTCCCAAAGAATCTTATTCATGTGAAGTATCAATGTCCTAGAACCAGATTAAATAACAGAAAGTGTTACTGTTACACTTATTCACCTACTTTTGCAGGTATTTAGTCATGTTCCCTTGTAACATAATTTCTGAGCAGTTGAAATTTATTTGTACAAATGTTTACAAATATGTGTTTTGTCTCGTATTGCAAATCTACCATGTACCATTTATGCCAGAGGCATTTGTTCATCTGTCCAAATCAAAGAACAAAATCATTCTGGTGCTGTGTGTTTGTGTACTTCTAGCTGTTGATTTTTCTGTGTGGGAATATCTATCTGCATTGCTGAATCAGTGCAACTCCCACATGTATACTCTTACTGCAAACAGCATCCTCTCATGGAATAACTAACATGAAAAGGTCACCAGTCTTTCCATTAAGAGTTTCCATACTGAAAGTTACACTGGTGTAGATATTACTGCATAAATAATTGTGGCATTTTTAGATGCCAAAAAACCCTGAAACACTAGGAACTATAACAATAAAAACAATGGCAAAAAAGTAGGTGCAGCTCAATCAGCCAACCACAAGTAAGTAAATGATTCGAGTTTGAAACATATGTGATCAAGTCTTGGGGGAAAATATTTGAAAAAATACCGGTGTAAAAGATGTTATTGATAATAGGTGAATTCAAGGACATTATGAATCTTTAGGAATATTTTGTGATGGAGCAATGATGAAAAGACATTCATGGTAAATTATTGGCTGAGCTTTGTTGAATACAAGAATTATGTGGAGAAATAAACAAAGCAATGATACTGGGACAGAGTAAAAAAAGCAGTCAGAAGTAATTAAAAATTACCCATTATCCATTTAAACAAATACAAAAGCAAACAAACAATGTAATCTGGCACTCCAAAAGGCAAAGGCTCCCAAGGAAATGAATAGAGAATGTGTAGACTTTTGTGAAACTATTGACTTTTCAGCTGGTAAGTCTAAAAGAGGTCTGTAGTGCAGCCCATGTGGCTGTCAGAAATTCCACCTCCCTCCTTTTGCCCATTTTCAGCTGATGTACCTGGTTAGCTTGGCCAGCTCACAGTTACAGGCTTTCACAAAAACAGCAGTGATGTTCAAAGTGCAACAAGGGAGTCCATATCTTCATGAGATGCTCCAGTGGTTGGAACAGGAATTATGGTTTTACAAGGCACAACCATTGCAAGATTGTCTTGAACATTACTGCAGCATATTCATATACGCCTCTCAACTCTGTCTCTACAAAATGTGCATACTAAAACCAATTCCATAAAGGGAAAAAAATGGTTCTTTTTTTTTCTTTCCTATGCAAAACCCCTCCTTTTGTAACTGACACTTCTATTGAAGAGCTGCAATAGGTTTCTATTAAGATATTTTCCATGAAAATTTCAAGACTGACAGATGTCTCAAGAAACAGATAGTTGAAGGCTGATGCTTAATAATTATAACATATACTCCTCAGGGGTGTGTTAGTACTCTACAGTTCTTTCCCAAACTCTCCCTTTCTCCATTTCACAGTGCTTTTTCTCATCTCAGTCACGCTTTCTTTCCATTCCAATACTATCTTCATGTTAAAAGCTCCCTTTTGCTTCTTTCTCTATTCAATGCTAGTCTTAACTATTTTGCCTTTCTCACATTCTACTCTTGGCTTTGTTCTCCATCCTTTCATTTATTGTTCTCCACCATACCCTAATTACTTATATTGCTCCCAAGTTGTAGGTTAGTGTTGTAAACAGTGTTCAATCCTTCTTTGCCATCTTTCTTTCTTCATTCACTTTCCTTACCTTTTCTCCCTTGGTCCTCTGGAGACCTTTACTTCTTTTAACAAGCCACTATAAAGTGACTCCCTATTCATTTGATGTTTTAGCTCACTGAGTTTATACAATTCAATGCCATTTCAAATATGTTAAGCTGTTTAGTGGCATTCCTCTTTGGTATGTTGTCTTCTTTCTCTTTAAATACTCCCAAGCTAGTGGATTGCCAATTAATTAGAAATAGTTAATCTTCCCAATAGAATAAACACTATGTGTTTGTGTCTCTTGGGGAGCTCCTAAACAAATTTTTATGACTGTGTTGTTAGCTGTTCTTACTACTTGGCAGCCTGTCAATGGAAATAAAAGTTCACTGAGCAGATATCCAGGCCATAGTTTGCAGAATGTTTTCTTCAAGCAGGATGCTTCCACACCCGCTGTCCTTCCCTTCCTTCACTGCTTGTTCCCAGGCTGCACTGTCTTTAAGGATACCAGTTTTGGGGGTCACGCAGATGATTGAGCTTCACCAGCACAGACACAAATAAAAAACTAGCAAAACTACTTTCTTTTTTTTTTTAACTCCTGATTGCTTTTGACCTGATTTTTCATGTGAAGCATGATGTGCCAGCTTAACCAAGGAAGAAGCAAAAAGGAAGGAACATGTGGTAAAGAAGATTTTGAACTACTACTGGAGGAGTATATCTCCTATTGGCTCTAAATTGAGTGAAAAAAAAGACAAAGGGAAGGGGTGCAGATAGAAGAGAAGAGAACCCAACACTGATATGGCTATTTAGCATGTGTTACATGCCAAATAAATCTGGTTAAAATTATTTTTAAAAAAGGTAGCCCTCAACGAATAGTTACCATGATGCAGATGTAATCATAAATTATTCATACCTGCTGAAGTTGGTTCCTCTTCAAGAGAGGCTGTGCAAAAAGGTGGTGGGGTGAGGGGAATGGGAATGGGAATGGGAATGGGAAGGGGAAGGGGAAGGGGAAGGGGAAGGGGAAGGGGAGAGGGAGAGAGGAAAATACAGATGAAGAAATCCATGCAGTCCTAATTGTTATATTATTTATAGTTTCTCAATATAAAAGCAGTAAGATATCATGAAAAATTTTATTCTAAATAGTTTGATCAACTTGAGTAATGGATGTTTCATCTTAGTGGAGAACTAAGCTAAAACAGGTTAGGATTTTGGCTTACATTTGTAACATTACATTCTTAAGTTCTCCCTCTAATTTAGCTAATAGGATGGGCTCAATACTACGACAGCAATCCTCAACAGAAGAGTTTCAGTCAACTTCTCTGCAGCTAGCCAGAGCTAGCTGTTGCAGTACTATACAGGACCTGTTCTGAAGGTTATACCTTCTAAAAAAATCAGCTGCAGCACCCAGTTATTTGGTTAGCTAACGGAGGCTGTTGTCTGATGACACAGCTAAACCAACTGCTGGTTAGCAGTTAATGAGAGGCACAGCCCACACCTTTTTCCCATCTCTCCATTCCCCATCCCTTCTGTTCCCTTCAGTGTCTTCCCATCTTTGCCCTCCCTGGTAGTAATGAATTAATGATCCTGAAACGAAGCAGTTAAGGAGCAAAAATGGCAGTTTGGGGGTTTAGTTTTTTTTTAATTCTTTTTCCTGGTGGGATTGGGGTAGGGAGGGAGTTGCCCATTGGACTCTTCATTCCAGACATTTATTGTCTGAGGAAAGCAATAAAAATCCACATTGTCATGCTAGAACCTTTCCCTTCTGGTAATAGATAACCATTAAATTGCCTGAAGTTACCATCAGAAAGCACCTTTGACTGTAGACTATCTATTACCTGTACATTCAAAAGAAAGACACAGATGTATTCACAGTAAAACTGTATTTTAAAAGTACATCAGTGACCTAGTTCTTTGTCTCCTTGCAGGCAGTACATTTTATATACACATGCATCATAAAAACGGTCTTCTCACAGTCTTGCAAAGTTTTCAATGACAGAAAAAGCAGCAATCAAATGTTTCTCACTTGGATACTCTAAAAACACCTAGAAATCTGATACGATTTTCCATAAATGTGATATAGAGACACTCTTAAGATACTAAACACAGGTATCCATACTTTTATTCTTTCTCTGTTAAGGAGTCTTTTCTACCAGTTTAAACAGAAGCTCCTTCTGTTTGATTTCTTGCAGAATCAGTTCCATACAAACAACACTCCTACAGCCATGGCAAACATTGATCCACCCTGATGGTGTCAGAGCTTGGACTTGGCATGGGTAAAGATTTCAAACATTTTCTCAAAGATCAGTGTCATGTTTCCTAAATTGACTTTGCCTTCAGTATCACTCCATGTATTATGCTGGGAAAAATTAGGAAAGGAGCAGGAAGATCTTTCCTCTTTTTAGTGAAACTTCCATCAGACATAGCAGAGACATTGTCAACAGACACCAACCACATTTGAGACCAACTATAATCCTTGGCTAACTCAGTGTAATATTCTATATACAACTGTATGTGACAATTAATGCTGGACACTTCAGTTATTTCTGATTGCAGACCAGCATGGTGTCCTTTTGGGGGCTGTCAAATCCAATCGACAGAAAATAATGAATTACTGTCTGAAGCACCAGCCAACCATCTTGTCTCTAACTAAAGTTTCCTGGGGTAAATAGGTGATTTTTATTTATATAGCTTGGTGTTCATATATACACTTAAGAAGGCTACATTACAAGAACAGTATATTGTGAAATGTATAATCTAAAATGGCCTAAACAGGGTACTTAACAGGCTAACCCTTCCCTTTTGTAACTTCTCATTTAGTGTCTAGATGTATATTTTGAAACTAGATTAATCCATTTTGAGGTATATGATGTAAAGATCACATCAAGCTTTTAAATTTTACAATAACTTGTTCTTTTACTGTGTAATTACCAAATTTAAGTAAAACGTGTTTGTAACAGTACAGGATTTCAAGACAACGAAAGAAAGAATGGAAAATACCACTCTATTGTTTTTAAATTGAACTAATCAGATACATCGTTAATTCAATGACATGACAGCTGATTCCACAAAAAAGAAACTGAGTATTTAAATCTGATGAACAAGAGAATCAGAAGTAAACAAACTACAAACTAATTAATAGCATGTTGTAAATTTTCAAAATACAAGTAGCAGAGAGGACTGCACAAACAAAACAGAACATGGAAGTTCCGTAGAAGTTCCATGATTAAATTTTACAAATGCACAAAATCTGTATTAGCTGCAAGCTCAACTGCTGCTTGAGTCACAAATAATTGAAAGTACTAGTGTCTGTGCATTAAAACTGGTTAAACAAAATTGTCCAATTACACAAGGAATATTCATTCCAGTAACAATTTTTTTTCAGACTGCTATTTGAATAATATTCTTAGACTTAATTATTGGGATGAATACCAGCATTAGCAATTCAAAACTGGGTTCTGTTAATACCGTGATGGTTGTTTCAGTGGGACCACTCTGCATATAGGTACACAGCTAAATAAAAAAAGAGAGCTGAATCTCAGCTGAAATAAATCATTCAGATGCCCAGACAGCTATGCCAATAACATTACTTTTCTGTTTAATTTTTTAATTTAATTAATTTTGACTATTTGATTACTGGTTTAAGATCTTTCAAGAATAGAATATCTTCATTTCTTGTCTGAGTAGACCAGCATTAGTAAGAACTACTTCTGTAAAACGCAAAAAACTTAGTTCAATACTGTACTTGTCAATACTGTATTTCTTAACCCTAGACAGACGTTATAGATGCATATTAAAAATAGATATGAAAATGCAGTTATGATCTTGTTTGTACTTCACGCACACTTCTTTAAAAGATCAAATGAACTTAATCTCTTGCTATAGGTGCCAGGACTTGTTTTACTTCCCATAGCTTGGTAAACTGTGTTTAAAAAAACAGCCTTCAGTAAGCTATTGAATACTCAAGGAATAAACTGTTTTTGCTTTATCATACCGTGTCAAATGCAATGTCAGCACTCTGTTTTCCACTCATTAAGTAAATGCACTAAATTACCACACCAAAAATTTCCTGCACAACACCACTATTTTTTTCCAACAGCAGTGATTTAAACTTGAAGTTATTTTAAAAAGCTATTTATACAGTGACTCATCTCCATAGTAATTATCTGTAATTTACTTTCCTTACTTATTTCAGAAGGGTGGAGAGGGAGTAAGCTGGAATTGCCTTGCTCAACTGAGCTGGCACAAGCTGATGACTCACTGCACTGGGTGGTGGATCAACATAGCCTGATTTTCTTCTGACTCCAGTGAGACATGCACAGAGGAGACGGGTGTTTGACAAAAAAGCCCCCTAAAGAGTCACAGACATACCCAAGTCATGATCTGATAACGGCATTGAATGACCTTAAACTGTAAACTACTCTGCATCTTTAAAGCATTTTCAAGAACATTTTTCTTCCCCTTTTAATGCATCATTGACAAAATATAGTAAGACATATGGCAGCAAAAATATTAGCTTTATGTTAGAGAAAATCTGATGTTCACTTGGGAAAACTTAATCATGTTTTCCTTAGATGTGAATAATACTGCATCACATTAGTGGGGAAAAAGGTTCAAGAAGACATGGGCAGATTTGGAAAGCATATATCAGGATACATATTGTCCAACATATCTTAGCTTAAGGGAGATAATTTAAGAAGGCAATGCTTGGATAGTACCTGAATACCTATGCCAGACTTCTGATTATTTCTGTTACAGTGGTAGAAGCCTTGACAGGTCTGGGAAAAATCTGAACTTTGAAGCATAGGTAGCTCGAGGGAGGCAGTTTCAGTGTAACAGTGCGCTATGCTACATTATATATTATGACATATTACATTAGTTTTGTGTTTATATTAAGGTTTGTGTTAATTTTATATTAATATGAAATATGTTTGCCTTTAACATTCAAATAAAATGTCAGGCTCATATATAAAAGAATAAACTTAGATATATGACATTATCTCTATGGAAAAGGCTGTGCAAAAGCTCTACAAAATTAACCAAATGAACCACCTGTGAACAGTAGGATCCAAGAGCAAATAACATTTTTCTGAATGCAATGTCAAAAATAAATTATATTCTGCTCAGCTTCAAATCTTGGGATCTCAGAGGACCTGCATGCTATGAAGACTGACTGACTTCCCAAAAACTCGCCATCAGTCATTAAAAGCATGATTTTAATGCTACAGATGTTTCACTGAAAATATGCACTTAAGAAATCCATCTCTTCACCCGCTCCTCATTCGACAGATTTCAATTCATTTTTTTCCATAAACTGGCTCAATGTTCTTGCGATCTCAGCATGGCCCTGTGGGCAGTAATGCCATGACTGATGAGGCAACCCATTGTCAATCAGAGAACTGAAACAAGCTGTGTTTTCACCAAAGTCCCCCTTGCACCCAACCTCTCTCTGTCCCATGATGTGAGGTCAAATGTGTTGAAGACACCTTCAAGCCACAGATCAGATGATAAATGCTCTCTCACCAACTCATAGCAACTAACTCAATCAACTCAACTGGTTGCCGCTGCAAGAACTGATATAAATAATTGTGACCCCTAGTAATAAAGAGGAGGAGCAAACCCTAAGAAAACAGATTGTTTTCAAGATGCATGAATCTGATGAATCTGCAAAACACACCATGAATCTGGAAAATGCACTATTTATGCCAGTCGATCAAAGATACATATGTTTCTGTGAGTAAGAGTCTTTTATCTTACAGTTCTACAGTGATGCTGGGTTTGTTCTGTTACTGTGTGTTAATTGTAATTGTAGTCCTGGAACACCAGAACATCCTTCACCATTCACAGGCCCATGGGAACAGCAGTGCCTCCTTCTAGCTTCAGCTGGGTAAGTTGTGTTTGCAGTTATTCTTGAAAAAAAACCAAACCAAAACAAGAAGGAAG